CTAATAAGCCAGAAATGGCCATTCCGGTCTCCATTTGCTTTGTCGGATCCACCTCATATATATGTTATTAAAAACCTCGGAGGACTCCCATAGGGTACTTAGTTATGGCTTTCTCATGGAGATCACACTGCAGAAATTCAAAGCTTAGCTTTACGCATAATTAACCCAAATTGAGACATGCGTTATGAGGACGACAAACTTGAACTCTGCATTATTAATGGCGGCTCCAGGGGCCCGAGGTTCAGTTTTTAATGTGCAAAGGAACGATGACTATCCTTAAACGAATGGATTAATGACCCTCATACGCCATATAACTTAACGTTAAGCTGGCAATTTTTCTGGGCTCTTTTTTAGTGATGATGTGATGTAATAACTCATGTTTCTTAGCCCTTCTGAACTCCCATAAATAACCTAAGCCGCTAATCTTTGACTTTTTTTAGCCAAATCGGACCGCGCAGCAGAGTGTGGGCTGAGCCGAGTGTTGTAGGAAAAGCGGCGTATGAATTTGGTGAAGTCGACAAGATTATTTCTGCTGCCGAACGCCTTTGTGGCCCCTACCAATGGGGCAACTACGACATTGTTGTTTTGCCTCCCAGCTTCCCTTACGGCGGCATGGAAAACCCCTGTCTCACCTTTGTGACACCATGTCTGCTGGTAAGTGTTTAGCTCTTCGGGGAAGCCTCCTCCTCGTCCAAATCTTGTTAATTGCGATATCAGAAAGAATGATAACAAATCATTTTTCATGATATTGCTGTGTCGTTAGGGTATTTAAAACCATTCGATTGTTTTAAACCACTCAGTCAATTAACACGCAACCGTACGAACTGACGAACGTGACATTTTCCGTAACTTAACAAAATTAGACCTAAAGGCAGTAGAAAACTCTAACAGGCGGCGAGCCTGCGTTGCCAGACACTGCACACAGGCCGGTTTCCTTGGACTGTGAACGAATCGCTCTCCGCCCAGGAATATAAAAATCAATCCATTATCCTTAGAATTTGACTTATATTCTCGGTATATATTAGTTTATTCAAGGTCTAAAGTGATAGACCGAAATTTTATGTATGTAGCCAAACCGGAGCCCATTAGTCACTGTGGGATAACTGCGTAATATACACATGTTGCCAACGGGCATACAGAAGTATACATTGGTAATTCATTATACTGGTAGTACCGATACTAGCCTGTTTCGCCGGTACTGCACCGCTGAATGACACAGCGAAGGAGCCGGACCCCTGGCAGCTACGTAAAACAGCGGCAGAATAATGCCGAAACACGTGACTGTGCTTTTATCTAGTACCTGTGCTGTCAGTGTGGTAAAGAAAGCTCATATGAGCTCCATTACTTGCGTTTCTTTGAGATTTCAATGTAAATCTTCTAGACGCAACCTGCCTCGGCTCTGTTTCTTGACCAATCTTTTCAAGCTTCCTATGTTCCTTAGCACGAACTTTATGCGTTTATGGGAACGGGATGGAAGATGCGTTCACCGGTCTCTGTTCGTAGCCCTTCTCTTTAAGAATGCCACCATTTTGCACATTTTCCGACGAAGTTTTGATCCAGCAAAGTCTTACTATTAATCCTGGCATCTGCATTCTTAGCAGTGTGCTATGGAATATCCACCCGCCTTCTTCTGCATAACTAAAAGGTACACCTAGAACACGTTTGGTAGGGTAGTTAAAACAAGTCGAACATTTTCTTAACCATTCTTATTCATCAGTTCACACGCAACCGCACAAACTGACAAAGATGATTGAAGCATGATGTTCCCGGAGAGAACTTGAAGATTGTGAACAATGCAAAATTTACTGGCACCATAAATTTCGTGAAAGTTCCCCAGTTGCAACCACTCCTTGT